ATATATATATATATATATATATATACACATATGGCATTATAATAGAAATAATAATGCTCCTGTGTCCATGCAGGCACAGAATCCACTCCTAAATAAGAAATAGTCTGTGCCTACAACACAGTCTCTACTAAATATTGATGTTAACTTTTTATTGATTTTAGCAGAGACCGTGCCCAAAAACTTGTTACAGGCAATTCAGTATGTCAATAGTGTATTTACTTAAACAATGTCAGGTCAAAAATCTTAAATAACTTAATATTAACATAGAATATTATTTTATTGTAAGATATATTAAACCTGTTTCACCGTTTAAGTAAGAGAGAGAAAAAGAAAGGAATTATAATAGATGTGTGTTAAGATGCATTTACATACATATCATGTACATACATAAAATGCTGTTCTCTTAATGAAAATTTTAAGTATGTGCTGCTTTGAAATTTGAACATGTAATTATAAAAATAAAAGTTTTTGTAGTGTGTATATGTGTAAACGTATATATATATATACACATTACTCTAATCTTTTATTTTATTTATATATATAGATAACAAATCAAATCAAACATAATCATTGTTTTATACATATAACACACACACACACACACACACACACACACACAAATAATTTACATTTGATTTGAAAATGTATTGTGCATCGGAAGCATTGATTTAAGGATTGATTCAAGGATGAATTTTGTGAAATTGGAGTGGAATAAAATATGCAATAATAACTTTACCTTACGTGCCCAGGCTTGATAACCTGAAGACAATTCTGCAGGTGTAAGTACTTTAACTCCTGTACTACCAGTAAACTGACCTGGTATCTGCTTACTTTCAGCCCACGTTCTCATCTATAATAACGTGAATAGATTCATCTATATATATATGTGTGTGTGTGTGTGTGTGTGTGTGTGTGTGTGTGTGTGTGTGTGTATCATGCTATATTTTGTGAAAATCTATGTCACTTTTTTACCTCATTTTGTGCCCGTTGCATTGCATTCAAAGCGCTTACATCATTTGGATTTTCCCTTAATTTTCTTATAGCTGCTAATCTCTCAGATACTATAGACCCAATATCCATAGTCTGCAATCATCACAATTAGGACAATCTTTTTACTAATTGACAGTACAATTAATTAATCATATAATTTTACAACATATGCATAGATGTTTTCTTTTTTATTTTACCTCCGTTGTTGTTGGGAAAACAGTTTGCACCGGTTGTACAGGTTGCACAGGTTGCACGGGTTGCACAGGAGGTGGTGGCATTATAATTGATAATGCATTTGTAGAAGCTGGTACAAATATCTTTTTTGGTTCTGGTTTCTTTGGCGTAACAGGTACCCATTCGTTTTCTGAATACAAATATTGTATCATATGAGTGCAAGAAAATAAAACTACAAATTATATCGTAAAAATTTCTACCGCTTCTTCTATGATGTTGTCCACTGGAAACAGGAAACTGCAATCTCAACTGATTTGATGTTTCAGCTGTTTTTTCTTGGAACGTTTTTGTTGGTAACTGTTTTGCATCCTGAAAAGGAGAAATAAAATTTGGTTTAAAATCTGATGTTTATATCGTAAGAATGTAAAATTTAAGATTTGTAAACAATAATATAAAGTAGATTTATATACCAACCTTAATATTCATTATAATAGAACTGGGTCTTTCTTTTAAAAGAAAAGGATGATGAAATCCTTTCTCAGATTCACTTTCTTCTCCTTCAGAAGAGATACTAGATAATTCGCCTAATGCTTCAGACTTGGATAATGATTTACAAAAATCTGAAAACACAATTTTATACGTAATTACATAAAGTGAATAATAATACAGTGACAGAAAACTAAAGAATAGATAATAGGTGTATATATATTTCTGTGTGTGTGTGTGTGTGTGTGTGTGTGTGTATCTGTATATATGTATATTCCAAGAAAAAAAATATATATACATATAAAATTAAGTGAACAAAAAAATTACCTGTAAGTTCATCCACTGTTTTCCCACCGGTTTGTATAGCAGCAATAGCTTTATCTTGTTGAGCTACTGAAAGAGTTCCTTGTTTTATCATACTTATAACATTTTTTCTTGCTATTTCTAAAAGTTTCTTCTTGTTAATCTCTATTCTTTCCCTAATAAAAAAAAATAGTAAGTAAATAAAATTGATATACAAATATTGTACTATTAAATAATTTAATGCAATATTAACTTTCTTTCTCTGCTCATACTTCGACCTCGTGTATATTTGTCTTTATTTTCATTGTGGTTTCTATATCTGTATCTTTCTCTGCTTCTGCCACAGTCTCTTCTTTCACTGCTCCTATTCCTTTCGCGCCTTTCTCTGCTCCTGCTCCTCTGTTTTTCTCTTCTATCACTCCTACTGCTACGTGAGCTATATCGCGTTCGCGATCTTGACCTTCTATCTTGTGAATGATTGTCTTTATCTTTTGTGCTTCTACAATTAAAATTTTTCATTATTATTCTGTAATCTTTTTTTCTTATCTATATAGAAATATTTCTTTTTTCTTTCCTTCTCTTTCCAGACTAATTCTTTAGACTTAAATAATGATTTACTAAAATAATCTAAGATAATTTTAAACCTTTTTCTTTCCTTCTCTTTCAAAACTAATCTAAGATCAGTCTTAGAAGTCACCGAGCCCCTTGTTGGACTGAACATTTTATTTCTTATTTTATCTCTACTTGGGCTGAACGATGACGATCGATTTCGAGGCGGGGTAGGACTCAAAGTAGGTGTCCTATTATTATTATCCTCACTGCTGCTGTCAGATAGCTCACCATCTTCCATTCCTGCAGCTTTCGCCTTTTGCTTATTTTCTATCGCTTTTACCGTTTCATTATAAACAGTACTATTTTTGAGATCTTTTATCAATATTTTTCCTTGAGGAGACTGCTTTGATTTTTCTATTCATAGAAAGACATTATTTATATGTGCTTACTTTCTTTTTATATATTCTTATATACATAATTTTTCATTGAGTGCTTTCAAAATGTTCAACACATCTTAACACAAATGCACACAGGAATGTAGCATTCTAGAGCTTACTAGTAGCCCTAGAGCCAAGTACAGATGTGTAATGTATAGACGATTACAGCAATTGCACCATGTGTACAAAAATGTCTAGCAATTTTATAATTGGAGAGTACCCATTATCTGATTAAACAAATTATTAAATTATCTGGTTAACTTATGATTAAGCTTCTAACCAGTTTCACCCAACAAGTTTCATGCATGACATCGTAGATACAGCCCATTGGATAAAACACAGGTTAAGCCTAATCGTAAGTTAACTAGAAGATAGAAAACCAAATCTCTTAATTATATTCATATTATAAATCTTTTAATATTATGCATACATTTCAAAAACAATTTATAAATGTTATCAACAGAAAGAAGTACAAACCAAGCAGTTTAGGTATTATTGGCTCATCAGATTCATCATCCTTTTTTGATATAGGTGATAATTGAGGACTACCAGGATTATCCAAGAGTTTGTCTGTAGTATCTGAATTCTTCTTTAGATCATGGATATCATCTGGCTTTTCCTCGTCATTCATATTAATTTTTTCTGACACCTCAAGGTATGATTTTGCATCGTCATATTTGGTGTCTCCACAATCATTATCTTCATCCATCTTTGCTATTTTGGTCTTACCATGACCCAAGTCGGATGACCTACTAGAAACAGATTCATGTCTTCGCTTGGATTTCTTCTTGTGTTTCTTCTTTCTTTTGATACCTGAACAATATAAACAAAGAATGATTATATCGCAATACAGTGCCAAGTAACACATAATGCACATTGTTACCGTCTGCATCGCTATTATCCGAGGAATCGTGTTTCGATTTCTTCTTGTGTTTTTTCTCTTTGTGTTTATGTTTCTTCTTGATTTTCTTCTTCTTCGTTTGAAGTTCATCCGACAAGACCTTATCGGTTTTGTCAGCGTCGCCATTCGACACCTGCTGGACGCTATTTAACGGCGACGTGACGCCGTCGTCCGGTGTGTCAAAGGTACTGAAGAGCTCTGTCAGAATCTCGTTAGACGACTTCTCCGGAAGCCCAGGTTCCTGTTTAATCTTCACGCCGTCAACACCGACGGCCGTGATTAGGTTTGCGATGTCAAATAAATCAGTCATCACAGTTATTCGGCTAATATCTGTTTACTTATTTGCTCTTATGACCACTTATGACTGCGTCACCGTCATGCCATTCCCGCGCAGTCCGCTAAAATTGCACCAGTTGACTATGGTTGACTAGCACACTAGCGCACAATCACGCACCAGCAGTACTAGCATTGGTAACTGGAGTCGTGTAGTCACTGTAGTCGTGTTTTGCACAGAGAAAATTTCGATTTCTCTCTCCGCGAGCACTTCAAGAAACTCGAAATAACCTCACCACATGTTCACAAAAATAATCGATCGAGGTCAATTTCGAGATTTCGATCATAGTGATATTAAGGGCCATTCCACACAAACTTGCATAGCCGCATAAACATATGCATAAAGCGGGGAGCACAGACTCTTGCATAACGCATAACACATGAGGCATAAGAAATTGAACCAACCAGAGTTCTCTATTACATGGAAGGGAAAGAAACGGAGAACTTCGATTGGTACATATTCTTATGCATTACGTGTTATGCGTTATGCAAGAGTCTGTGCTCCCCGCTTTAAGAAAATCATTTAGGAAAGATTAATCCAACCCAGGTTGGTGCAAACCCGATCGGGCCGAAAACGCTAATAGTTTACGTTTGCTTTATGACAGAAATGTGATTGGATGATTTTCTTTATGCATATGTTTATGCGGCTATGAAAGTTTGTGTGGAATGGCCCTTAGTTCGGATCTACAATAGGGTTTTAAGCCTTAAGTCGTAAGAAATGGGCGAACCACAGTCGTTTATTCTCCTCGGATTAGACCGTAATTGATCAATTTCTTAAGGCCCGTCTACAATACACAGAGTAAGAAGTAAGAGTAAGAAATTGACCAATCACAGTCGATTATTCTTCTCACATTCGACTGTGATTGGTCAATTTCTTACTCTTACTTCTTACTCCGTGTATTGTAGACGAGCCTTTACGGTTTAAGACTTAAAACACCTATTGTAGAGCCGGACTTACAGCTCCTAAGTCCGGATCTACAATAGGGTTTTAAGCCTTAAGCCGTAAGAAATTGACCAATTACCCCGGATCTACAATAGGTATTTTAAGCTTTAAGCCGCAAGAAATTGACCAATTACAGTCGAATCCGAGAAGAATAAGCGACTGTGATTCGCCCATTTCTTATGGCTTAAGGCTTAAAACCCTATTGTAGATCCGGAGCGTTTCCAGAGTGCGGAAGCCATGGGTCGGCATCTCATGGAGCGGAAATTTACAGCGGAATGAAAGAGCGCGACTAATCACAATTGCAGAAAAGGAAGCAGAGCAATGACTGCAGAGTTGTGATTGGTCGCGCTCCACCGTTCCGTCCGTTCAGCTCCATAGGACGTCAGCCTAATTGGCTGCAACAGATAAACATGCGCAAGAACACACCATAGGTCTGTTCGTTTTGGCTGCACTTTTCCACCAGTTCATCTTTCTTCCTCTTCTTTCCTCTTGAAGAAAAAAGAAAGAAAGTTGAACTGGTGCAAAAGTTTAAGACCGCGGTCCGATACACGCTCACAACGCTTAAAAATCATTTCATCCTTGTTGTTTGTCAAATGTTAAACGAAGACAAACAATGCTCATGAGCGTTGTCAGCATGATTCGGACCACGGCCTAACTAAAAGGAACAGGCCGTATGTGTCTACTCGCATCGTGGGGGATGGGATGGGATGCGTCTTGTGACTACTTGACTAATGTTTGTTACAATAGCGGTTGGTAGCGGTTCACGACTGGTAACAATTTTTACTAAAGTTTTTGATAAACGAGAGAATTTTATATTTGTGGATATAACATTTATCGCATCGTTCTATTCTCTTTATAGACTATAAAGAATCGAAAAATCAATTATTAAAAAGAAGGAGAGAATTTAGTGCTGACATTTATGACTGATGTTAATTAACAAAATAGAAAAAAGAATCTTTAATTATAGAAAAAAGTGATACTTTATCATTAAAGTATCTCACAACACATGATAGAATCGAGAAAATAAAAATGTATAATTGAAAACTTGATAGTTTCTATCAGTTTCTATTAACCGGAGATCTTATAGTTAGTTATGTTACTCGTTCGAAAAGAGACTGATGTTATATGCATGTACTAAACCAGCATAGGAACTGATAGGAACTTCTCTTCGATACTTATATGAAAAGAAGCAGCACGTCTGTGAAAAATATACGATTTTGAATTATTGTTAAAGATATAAAAGAACATAACGGTTATGTTCAGTGACCAGTTGGTGTAAAACTTTTATTAATTTATCGTGACAAAAGGCCACATTTTTTATCACATTAAACATAGATGCCATGGGTTTTGAAGGTAAGGATAGTTATTTATACTATTGCTTCATTGAAACTCAAACTTTGTTCAAGACATTTTATTGCCTGAATATATGTAAAAGAAAATGTATACGAAAATATGATGTTTTGAGGTACAGTCGGAGCCTAAAAAGTTGCAACACTTTTTTTCAATGGGTTTTGGAATGCAGCTTATTCATCGAGCAATTGGTTTTTATTTATGGGTCCATAAGTAAGAACCAATCGCTTAGGGAGCAAGCTGTATTCCAAAATCCATCGAAAAGAAAGTGTTGCGACCGTTTTTAGACCCTGACTGTACATAAGTACATTTTTATAGCATATATTAATCCAAAGATCACAAGAATATTTAAAATAATATAAAAATATATATATATACATGTGATATCTTTATTTGTTCATTATTTTATCTAACTATATATTATCTTCTTTTTTTTAGAGATTTTATAAAAAGAACTACATATCATACGTGAATTGTTTTCTTTTTCTTTTTAAGACGAAAGAAGTGATTCGGATGAAGAACATGATAAATCCAGAAGCAATACTCCAGATTCGCAAAAATCAGGTAGCAATGCAGCAAGAAACAGATCACCTTCTGTTAGTCCTAAATCTTCACCTGCTAGGTATCTAATATTGATATTTTACTTGCTTAATTATCTCTATATTTTTTAAAAATTGGAATAAAAATTCTTTTGTTTTTAGATCTAATCAATCGTCTCCGATGCGAAATGGATCACCAGCTTCTGCCCGTTCCAATGCAAGTTCTAGAAAGTCTTATTCTAGATCATCATCCAGATCACCTTCACCGAATGGATCCATCTCACCACTGAATAGAAAAAGAAGTATATCTAGATCACGTTCTAAATCCCGTTCTCCAGAACATACAGAGACAAGTGCAAGAGATGGCTCACAATCACCGCCGCATTCACCGCGCTCTATTAAATCTGGCTCGAGATCTCGAAGCTCCTCTCACTCTTCATCTAAAAGTTCACATGCAGTATCAAGAAATAATTCACGTTTCAGATCAAGATCAAATTCTCCAAAGTCAAATAATACTCCATCTAAATGTATATCTTCGAAAGCAAACTTTCAGTCTTCTAAATCTCCTTCGCCGCGGGCAATTTCTAAATCGCGATCTCATTCGAGATCGCTTTCTCGATCCCGTTCTGTCTCTCCAAAAACATCGGTACATACACGCTCTCGATCGGGAACTCCCAAGTCTTTCCAATCAAGATCCAGATCAAGATCAAGATCAAGATCAAGATCAAGGTCAAGGTCAGGATCAGCAAATCCCAAACAAGTCAAAGCTGGTTCAAGATCAAGATCAAGATCTCTGTCTGGATCCAAGAAGGGTTCTCGTTCGCCTTCAGTATCGCCAAATCGATCTCCAGTGACAGAGAGGCAATCAAGATCAAGATCAAAATCAAGATCAAGGTCAAGGTCAAGGTCCAGGTCAAGGTCAAGGTCAAGGTCAAAATCACATTCTGTGAATAGTTCTAGAAAAGGCTCTCCAGATTTAGGGAAAAGCCCTCGATTTAGATCTCGTTCCAATTCGGCAGATAGAAAGTCTAAGTCGAGATCTGTATCAAGATCCAGATCTAGGAAACAATCAAAATCACCCTCGCGAGAACGGGCTTTGTCACGTTCAAAATCCAAATCGAAATCTAGATCCTTGTCGAGTTCAAGAAAAGGCTCGCGTTCACGATCGCGATCAAGATCGCAAAAATCTGGATCTAGAGGAAAATCAAGGTCTGTATCAGGTTCACGTAAAGGTTCCGTATCTCCTGCACATTCAAGGAAGAATTCTCGCTCAAGGTCCAGATCCAGCTCGCGATCCAGTAAATCTAAATCGAGATCTCGTTCTGTTTCAAGAGCTTCGCGATCGAGATCTCGTTCTGGATCCAGGAAATCGGTATCGAAGTCGAAATCGCGATCTCGTTCAAGGTCAAAATCTGGCTCGAGATCACATTCACGTTCACGTTCAAGATCAGGATCAAGATCGAAATCAAGATCTAGGTCAAGATCGAGATCAAAGTTACGCTCACGATCAAGATCGAGATCACATTCTAGATCGAGATCAAGGTCTGGCTCAAGCGCCAGATCTAGACATTCATCACGTTCTAAATCTCGATCTAGATCAAGATCTAGATCCATCTCCGCATCTAGAAAATCCAGAAGTCCTAGCAGAGATTCGGATAAAATAATTAGAAAACGAAATAGAGCATTATCAGATTCTGAGGAAGAGACTGATGAAGCTAAAGCAAAGAAACTAATGAAAAATGATTTGTCGGATTCTGAGCATGAAGATGGAAACGAAAGAAAAAAGAATGACGAGATGCATCAAGAGAAGGAAGGTGAAGGTGAGGAAAATAAGCAATTAGATGTAACAACTATCCATGATCAACAGGATGATAACGAAGATTCTGACGATGGAATTATTACTGGTAGTGGAATGTAAGAATATATTTAACTGCAAGATTTAAAAATAATACAAAAGTATATATATCGGAAGATTAATTAAAATTAAAAAGTGCGATAAAATTTAGAAAAACAAAAACGTATCTAATATTTTCAGGGATGATCTGCTGTCCGATTTTGACCGTATGTTAGCACGGAAAAAAGAGGAACAATCTCGTAGACGTAAACGAAAGGACATTACTATCATTAATGATAACGATGATATTATAGCGCAGTTGTTATCGGACATGAAAGCCGCAGCTGAAGAAGACCGAAAGTTGAATCATCAAAATAAACCCGCTACAAATAAGATTGCCATGTTATCGAAAGTATTGTCGCAGCTGAAAAAACATGATCTACAGTTGGCTTTCTTAGAACACAACGTCCTGTCGGTCCTTACTGATTGGTTAGCACCGATGCCTGATCGTTCGTTGCCATCTCTTAAAATCAGAGACAATCTTCTAAAATTGTTATGGGAGGTAAGATCATAAGATCATGAGATAAGTCCATTCGATCAAAAAAAAACATGTTTATATCACTTTATTTATTTATTACATCATTTATAGTTTCCAAAAATTGACCAATCTTCGCTGAAGCAATCCGGTATTGGAAAGGCTGTGATGTATCTGTATAAGCACCCAAAAGAAACGAAAGAGAACAAGGAACGCGCTGGAAAGTTGATCAATGAGTGGGCCCGACCTATTTTTAATTTATCAGCGGACTTCAAGGCGCTTTCGAAAGAAGAGAGGATGCAGAGAGACTTGGAGCAGACACCTCAAAAGAGAAGAAAAATTGAGGACGGAGGATCCTCTCAAAAATCGCAAGATATTAATAAGGCCTTGAAAGGAGATTCCAAGTATAGTCGTTGATAATATAATCGTTAATAATTGATGTTAATTGTTACACTTTCATTGCATTGAAACTCTTTCATCTTTCTATATCTTATAGACCATTGAGACCGGGAGATCCTGGATGGGTGGGAAGGGCTAGAGTTCCTAGGCCATCTAACAAAGATTATGTCATACGACCTGATTGGAAATCAGATATTGATATTAGTAGGGTAGGTAGTATTTGTTATTACTTATTATATATAGAATTGGAATAAAAATTAAAACTTCTTTTTATAGAGACATAATCGCTATATAAATATGTTCAATTATTTATGATTATTTATTTTAAATTTTACTTATAAATAAAATTTTGTATTTAAATTTTGGTTAAAATTGTTCACTTCTAAATTTCTAATCCAACTTATTAATGTTCAATGTTTATGGCATTCTTCTCCTCAATATCTTGCTTCATGACATTTGAAGATTTTTGGCTATATAAAATGTATTTTGGCTATATAAATTATATGCCAACACTTACAATTCTTTATACACAATTATAATGGTTTCGTTATTCTGTGCAGAGCACCAAGAAACAAATGAGCCGATTTGAGAGACACATGAAGAATTACATGGACAGTAAACGTATGAAATCGGCAAGAAGAGCAGTAGATATATCTATAGAGGGTCGTAAAATGTCTTTGTAATCGTCTTTGTATCGTGGTTTTTATGCTTTACACAAGGTTGGAATAAATCTGTGGCAATATCTCCTGATGATGCTCAGGAAAAGTTTGATTTCATTCTCGCGTAATCTCAGGCAAGTTAAAGATAAATTGCAAAACGCAAAGTTGCTTATTCTCTTTCCAACAATTGGTATTACATGTTTATTTGCAGATGAAAAAAAGAAGTAGTGGTTGTAGTTTCATTTGAAGATAAGCTGATAGTAAAGGAACTATGCAATTTTGTTTGAAAATACAAAAAATAATTACATTTAAAATATATGTTTTAATCAGATTGTTCCAATCAATTTTGACTAAAAAATCCAAGGATATTGTTTAAAGATTAAGCATCGATAATGTATTGTTTATAGCCTGTATAAATAGAATTAAATAAAAACGCATGTTTGAATTTATGTACATTTTGTTTCGTATTTAACTGACTGAATTAAACATTTCAAATACAAGCAATTGGAAGAGATGTTTTATATATACATATATATATGCACAAAATGTTTCACGGATTAAAAACAAACAGAATTTATGATCTGTTTGTATAAAGCGTATTTTCCATTTAGTGATACAAATCGACACAACATTGTTTTGTCTTCGTTACTCGTGGAATGCTAAGAAAGATGGATCAACTTATGTTATAGAAATCTTTCAAGATAATGAAATAACATGCTTCCTAGAAATATCAGTTTATGTTAGAATATCAATAATATTTGTTGAAATTTTGTATATATGTGTATAATTATATACATATATACGTATAAAAATTATAATTTACAAATAAAAATATTTATAACTTTTCCTTTATGTTCTCTCTTTCGATTGGTCTTTCAAAAAGTTAAATTAAATGGCCGCAATAGAATTTCCGTGCAAGATGGTGGCAGTGGCAGTCCTTTTCCGGTTTATCGTTAAACTGGTTGAACGTGTCACGCGATACTATGAAAGCGAAGGGTGAAGTAAGTAATTTTTACAAATTTTATTTGAGGAATAAGCGAGATTAATATTGAAAGCTATTTTTTTTATCCCAAGTATTAATTAGTCACTTGGAATTAGCGCGAAAACGTTAAACGGAGCTTTGCAGCGTGATAAACGGCGTGATCTAACCTGTAACTGCCCACACCAACGCATGCTCGCATAATCCGATACAACTAATTTATGATAAATTCGAATGAAATGATCATCTCTCCTTTTTCTTTCAGCTGAAAGAATTCGAGGTGATAGGGCGCAAGCTCCCCACCGAGAAGGAGAAGACCACACCGCTATACAAAATGAGGATATTCGCGCCGGATGCTATAGTAGCCAAGTCCAGGTTTTGGTACTTCTTGCGCCATATATATATGTATGTAAATTATCGCAACTGCAGCTTTGTCTTATTAGATGTGTTCTTTGTAACTGCTGTATTTTGTACTTGTTGCACTTAAAATAAAATGAATATACAGACGTTGGAAAAGAGAAAGAAAACGTGACAAGTACAGAGTTTAATGTAAACCACAAATTATAATTAAAAATTGTTAATGTCCATTTTTACCAGTGTAGATCAACTTCAATCTCGGTTTAATTTACTTCATCCTTTTCTAATTCTTAGAACTAGAAAAAGATAAAGAGTAATTTAATTAGGGTTAATTTACATTGACATTGATAAAAACGGATATAAGAAACTAAATATCGTATTGTGTTTATTTATATATTGGATAACTTTATATATGTTGATAACATATATATATATATATATATATAAAATTGTGAATCTTTTAGATCCCAGAGAAAACTCCAATGAAAATCAAGAACTTTGGAATATGGCTGAGGTATGATTCCCGATCTGGTACACACAACATGTACAGGGAGTACAGGGACCTCTCCGTCAGTGGGGCAGTAACGCAGTGCTATAGGGACATGGGTGCCCGTCATCGTGCACGCGCTCACTCCATACAGATAATCAAGGTGGAGGTTGTAAAGGCTGCTAATTGCCGCAGGCCCCAAGTGAAGCAATTCCACGACTCCAAGATCAAGTTCCCGTTGCCCAAACGAATTCAGCACAGAAATCGTATGCCGCTGTTCAGCGTCCGGAAGCCACGCACCTATTTCCTTTAAACGACACGGTGTTTTTGTACTGCGACGCTATACTACTTTGCGGAAAATAAAGGGAAAATATTCAACATAATTGCACGTAATTGTACAATTTCCTCTTCTCTGCCCTTTTCCCACCGTTTTGAGGGCGGCATAAAATACAGAGCTCGAAATGTTTTGGTTGTTTAGAGGTAACTGTGTTTAGTTTAGAGGACAGTTGTGTGTTTCATTACTTGTAGAGACCCTGGGTGTATTCCGTTTCACGCATTTATCATTTTATCCTTCTTTAATATTCGGTGAATAACAAGGATAAAATGATACATAATGAGCACTATAGTTTGGAACAAGCCATCGAGGAATCCCAATTTCTAGATAACGACATCTTAGTAAAATAGTGTTATTTTCCTTGTTAGAAATTTACTTTTTGGCTAATGTTTTATTTATCACACAAGTAGGAATGAATAAAAAAAGAAACAAGTATTTGTTTGCTTTCCTTTCTTTCATCAAGTTACAAATTAATTTTAATATATATATATATAAAAGGCATGCTCCAATATAGAGCTCTCTGTGTAAAGCACCTGTAATGTTCAGTGCATAACAAGGATAAAACGGTACATGATGCACAATATGCTCCTCACGGAGTATATCTATCAAATTATTAAAGAGCAGATTTCTTTCATTGATCATTTCAAAACGTGAGCCGAACATAGATAATAATGCGTGTCACGTGTCAAAAGAGAGCGGAACTCGCGGAACTCGCGCTTAGGATTGAGAGCGAATTCCGGCTACACATGTCTTCCGTTATGACTCAAAACTAAGCCTATTATTGATTTGCGCCACCTCCCGCGTACAAACACGAAGGTCCTGACAAACTGTGAGACAAGCTTTGGAGAGAGCACGCGACAAGTCGTAAGTAACTGCGATTGCAAAGTCATTTTGGACGTTTCGTCAACTTCGTTCCGTTAATTGTTCGATTCGAGCGTTCGAGTGCATTCGAGTGCATTCGAGTGACACGACTGACACGGCGGGCGATTTTTCTCACGACATCGCGAAAAATGTCATTAGTCTCTATCGAGCGTAGTGTCAAATGTTCAATATCGCGTACTCGAAAGCGTGTACTTTTGCGTGATGATGCGTAACAAAAGTTTGCGGAGATTCAGACGCGACGATGGCGAAACGCTTCTTCGAATCCAAGATCGCCTCGACGATCACTCTTGACGTCGAAGCAACGTTGTAAACACATATGCGTCAGTGCCGTCAGTGCATCACGTTGTAACGTGTCGAGTGTGTGTTGACAGATGATGGGACAGTTCAATACTATTCCTTCAAGTCCTCGTGTGATGTTCGATGAAGAGGGTGACAATGGCTTGGTACTTTGTGATAAATACCTGCCGGTCGAAATTCTGATAGAGATCTTTTGCTATGCCGACTGCAAGACTCTGATGAATTGCCAGTTGGTGTGTAAACGCTGGAAGATGTTGATGAATTACGTCTGGCATAAGAAGACTGAGCAGACGCTAGCCAAACCGTTTCCATGGAACGACAAAATCCCCTGGTCCGTATTTTATTTCGCATGCACTAAGAAGCCATATGAGAGGAACTTGCTGAGAAATCATTCCGGCGCAGAAGGCATGCATCATTGGGACTTGGGTTCGAATGGCGGTGATCACTGGAGGATTGAGGAGCCTCCCGTCGGCGTGCCAAGACTGCCGCTAACCGAATCAATGTTTAAAGACAGACAGATCTGTTTCACGACGTCCTATCAACGTTGCTCCAAAATGCAAGATATCTATCTGACAGATGAAGGGATTCATCCATATATCCTAGACACTTATCAACCACCTATAGTGGTATCGTCAAGTTTATGTGATGGAAATTATATATAAACACACACACACACACACACACACACACACACACACACACACACACACACACACACACACACACACACACACACACACACACACACATATTGTATGCAATTGTAAATTATATATGCCATGTATGTGTAGGTAAGCGAATGGTACAGCTGTCGATGGGACTGTCCAGCAAAATATCAATTGGAAGTTAAATTAATTGGTGTTGACGAAGAACAAATGGATAAGTTTAAATTTGAAGATATTCTAGAAGGAGAGAAACAGAATAAATGGCTGCAAGTGAGTATCAAAAAAATATGAAAAAAATTTGTATTTTACATAATGAAAATTGAAATATGAGATACAAATAACAATCTTTAATTTGTATTTTTTTGTATGCTTTATCACAGGTTTCACATGTATTTGAAAACTATGGAACTGGTCTCAGAGTTATTTCCTTTGAGCACAGTGGAAGAGACAGATTGTATTGGGCAGGACATTATGGCAGTAAAATGGCTGGAGCATGTGTTTCTGTGAAAATTCCTGAGAATATTTGCACTTGCACTTGTAAAAAAACGTAATTAAAACAACAAATATTACATAAGACAGAGAGGTCAAACTAGACAAGTTAGTTTATGAGGGATTTTCCCTCTGCTTTTTTAATAAAAAGTTTTATGTAATAAAAAGTCATTGATTTCAATGAAATAAAAAATGAGTACCTATAATATGAGTATACAAAATGTTAAATATATAAAGTTTTTTATAAAATATTAACTGTAACTACTTAATAAAAAATAATTTTAAGATTACGTTTTTATTATCACAGTTGCAAATTAAAGATAATTCATATACAGTGTTGCATATATATAATAAAAATTTATTCAAAATATATACGTATTTTCTGTATACATACACAGTGTAAGTGTTACGAGTGTAACCGAAAAGCTATTTCAATTAGGTTCTGAGGTGCAGAGTCTTGATGGCACACGTACAATTCCTTTGGATGAGGGCTCGTATAGAGGCGTCCAATTACCCAAAAAGCTATATTTTCCCATTCAAATAATACACCGTGTTCTTTAACAGCGATTAAACTTTTGTTGATTGCCGTTTTGTCTATATCTTGATTCAACATCTTAAATCTTACTGTATTACGTAACAGTCTATGAATAACATGTACACACTTATTAAAGTTAACAAGAATCTTGTTATCTTTCGATGTATTTTGAATAGGTATTGATGTTAATAGAATTCCTTCCACCATGTCCAATTGAACATAATGATACAAATAATTTTTATCACCTGCAGTTAGTTTTTGAGGTATTAAATATTCTGCTTGGTTTAACAAGTTCTCTCGTATATTGGATATATCCATTGTAAGCACGTTACTATTGCTCTATAAGAAAGTATTGATAAATATATTAGTATTTGAAACAAGCACTACGTATTTTTGAGAGAGAGAGAGAGAGAGAGAGAGAGAGAGAGAGAGAGAGAGAGAGAGAGAGAGAGAGAGAGAGAGAGAGAGAGAGAGAGAGTGTTACCTTATATATATCGATATCTGAATCACTGTCGTCCGAATATCTCGATGCCGAATTGATCTTCTCTCTGATTGCTCGTCTTCCAAGTATAGGCATTGCCTCATCGCTCATTTCGCTAACACCACCTGTTCCTTGGCTGAGTGAATCTTCAGACGTTTGTAAGGAATACACTAAACATGTGAAAGGGTACATATATTCTCACGCATATAAGAAATGAAACAACTTATATCTTATATAGTACATACTGTCTTATATTGTAAAAGTGACAAAAAGAATTAAGATACAGTATAAGAAATATTTGAATTGATTTTACCATTGATATACTTACATATATTGACACTTACCAGAACCCAAGATCACAGGATTTTCTTCAGGATTTCGTTTCTTCAAAATAGAAGGCAATTCTTGCGGTTTCTTACTAATAGCAGGATTGACATTTTGCTTAGACGGTACAGTTTGCGCGTCGGACGTTGATTTTATCAAACCAAATAGGTTTTCCGTTATACTGGATGACGCTTTCGTTGTTGTATGTTCCTCATATGGTATTACTTCGGGTCTGGTATTGGACGTAACCCATTTCGATGCCAAGACTGTGACTCCTATTTTTTGTACATGCTTCAATGTCTCTTGAGCCTCTTCCACGTAAAATACATCTGGGCCAATCGCGTCATTGTATCTAATAGAATGATAAAACTTGAATAAAAAGCAAATAGTCTAACTATTTATGTAAAATAATACACGCTCACTTTGCAGTGCATCCGCCAGATTCCAACAGCACCGCTAATAAATCATGCCCATACCCGACAACCAATAAAAACCATTTTCCATTTGATATTAATAACTGGCTGCTGTCGTTACTGTCAATAATGCCACGATTGCAAGACGAAGGATAAATTTGTTTCCACAGAACTAGGCATTTTACTTGTTCTTGGCTCACCAAATTTAATAAACCGTTATGTCTCAAGAACGAATGTACATCGATCAGATCTTCGTGAGGCAAATGAGATCCTAGAAGATGGCTCTTGTGATAAATGCAGCTCCCTAATATAGTATATAATCTTTTACAATCCATAGGATCTTCATTCTGTTAAATATGTATCTATTAGATACAATCAATGTAGGTTTACACTTTAACGTAAGCATATTTATTAATTATTTAAAATATAATTGTAATAAGTATCGATATACCCAGTCTCTGTAATCCATAGCTTCCATCTCGCTTAACGCAGCGTCTATTTGAATTTGCGCGTCTCTCGGTAGTTGTATAAAGCTTGCGACTGAAAAAGCGCTTCTAAATTTATAATTCTCCACACTTTCAGTACTATTTTGTGGTTTTTTTTTAATATCAGCTTCTTTGTAGGAATCTTTAATATTTGTTAATCTGTGCATAATTAGAGTGAAAAAATGATCCAAAAAAGACTGGTTTTCCACAGAAGTAAAGCACTTTGTTAGCGATTGATAGGTAAATTCTAATGTTCTGACAATGTCTTCTGTAATCTTTATAATCTCCTGAGAGGTACAGCTACAAAGAATTGATAAAATTCATGTTAAAATAATTGCTGTATTCTTTCCAATTACACTGTACACTGAAAGTAAAATTCACCATTTGCCAGGTAAAGCTATCAAAAGTAATTCATTGTCACGGGATGTGTACGCAATATGCGTTTCTTCGTCGCCTATATAGACAGTTGTACTAAAAATATATACGTTATGCGACGTCCAGAAAATCGCCCGTAGTACTTCGAGAAGTGATTCAGGATCCGAAAGGAGAAGGAAAAAAAATTATATAAATCACTTCCCAAAGTACTGCGGGCACTCTATATGTATATAATATATACATATTTTTTAAATACAATAATTGTATGTATCTGGAGACACAATAGTGTTTCGGCGTTAAAAAAAGCAAAGCGTCATATAGTATACCTGAGTGGTTCTGTGCCCACTATACTGGGTAATAAATGATTAAGAGTTATAAAAGCTCCCCTTGCTGTACATAGAGAAGAATGCACATTTTTAGTTTCGGAGCGCGGGAACGTATACAATACGCCTTGCAACTCTTGTCCCATTTCCGAAAGATCCGCAGTTTTTAAATATATTACGCCCAACGGATAATTCAACAGAGATTCCATAAAGAAATTACTAGATTCTTTATTCACCAAATACTGGGCCAATATCGATTGCTAAAAATGTACGATCGGTAAAATCTTGTCTCATTCATATCAAGTACTCGTACTATCGTATTTATAACGAAAACTAATTACTTTTGGTTCATTTACTTTTGGTAACTTTGCAGTAACATCAACACCAGCTACTCTTTGCAGTTCTAATGTTATCTGTAAATAAAGAATTTTTAAATCTTTTCTTAAAAAAATTAAAATAGATTCGAATTATTACAATTACACATAGCAAATTCCTGAATTTATTAATCACGAATTACTTATCTGCAATTATTAACATATATTAAATCTCACATTTGATGGCGTAGTGATTTCAGATAGTATCCGATCTAAATTCTGAAAAGTAACGTTGTTCGAATTGATGCTCCGTAACCAATCCCCAATTTTTATATTTCTCTTGTTCATAGCTTCACCATCGGGTATAAATCCGGCCACCATAACTCTCACTTTGTCCGAGAACGCACCCGGAGTAATACCAAAGTACGCTTCGCATAAGGTTGCCCTTCTTCCCAGTTTATGTCTTCTCTCAGGATCGACCCATAATGTGACTTGTCGAATTTCTCCTGCCTGATCATTACAGACAACATTACATACATCACAAATACAAGAAAAGTTTATGTGACATTTTATTATTTGTCATGTTAAATTTATTAAATTATTACTGTTAAATTTCACTTTTAATTCACGTGTTGTAAAATTATATACTTTTAAATGTTTCCAAAATATATATGTAGTTTATTGCTGTTAGTGCACCGAATGCTTCAGTTAGTACCTGGAAATCTTGAAATTTGACCTCCTTGCTCTCATCTCCTTTTTCTTCAGCAGTTGCATTATTTGTCGCAGCGCTATTGTTAATCCTTTTATTTCTCGTGCTCCATCGCTTGCTTTCCTTGCGTCTAATAAGACGAAACAGTTTGCCAGCTCTCGTACTACGACGACGTGTTAATTCGGGCTGAGGGCTTTCGATGTCATTTTCCGAAATTGTAGGATTCTCGAGTAGACTTTCCTCTGCGGATTCTATATAGAATACTTCTCCGGTGGGTCCGATCTCCGATTCCCATTCAACCACAGAGCTGCATTTGAGCATATTAAATCGTGGAGAAATCATTCACATTTATTCACAAATACGCCTGATTGTTGCATTTACCTGCCGGTGTCTGAATAATATGACCCTGTGCTGGAACCACTGTCACTTGCCCACCAGTCGTGATCATCCTCGTTGTAGATATCCGCAGAGTACGACTGATCGGACTGCTCGCATTTAGATTTTAATAAAGCATTTTTATTCTCTACCTCGCTCATATTTCGTTGAAAATTATTGTATCAAACAGCTTGATTTTATAACATCTAGCTCTGCAAGTAAGACCTGAACTAATATACGTAATATTATAATATTAATAAGTAGGTATACCATATCTTTCTGCATTGATATCCTAAATAACATATTATAATGTGTCTAACAATTATTATTATTTCACTTGCATTTAGTTATTGTATATAGGTAGACTATATGTACAGTGTGTGTATGTTTAGGCAAGTGGATAGCCTATTATTCGATACTACCTGAATGCACCTGTGTAACATACCTGAATACAAAGAGGCTTGCCCGCTTGCTTGCGTGGAGGGAAAAGAAAAGGAGTGGGGATATGATGAGCACCTTTTTATTCTAATATGCGTGAAAGGTAGTAAGATTTCTTTACATACGTAACGCTGAAAGTGAAGAGTCAGATGATTTTTAAATACATACATATATTTTTCTAAATTTATGAAAAATTCCAAATAACGTAATAAAAATAAGAACAACTTTTCTTGAAAAATTGAAAGTTATAATAAAATTTAACAAGACAGTCATAAAAAGCTTATTACGAAATGACAGTTACTCAACTTACTATAAAAAATTTATTTTTACTTCTTACATTTGTATAATTATTACCCTAAAAATGATTTTTGCGCGTAGAATCTGAATGTTCATATAATAAAAGTTACAGACGTAATACGCTAACGCAAGCTTGTTTGTACTTTAATTATTTAACAATAATATGTTCTTATATCTACTTTCTTCACCGATCGTACATGTATCCCAAATGCAATGGGTCTATCAACATTAAGTATTTACTTTTGCATTTTCTTTCTCTGTATAAAATAGATCAATCAATTGATTCGATACGTCAATACTTTTATGTTCGATAATATTCGACCATGTCATATATCTGTATTAATTAATCTATTTATATTATATACCTGTATATACCGATCGCATACAATCAATTCGAAAAATAAATACTGGAGTGATCGCTAAGCAACATGCATTACATGTCGATTTTATCGAATCGATTGTTTGAGCCTAGACGCAACTGATTTTATGTCGGCAGATTCTTTTTTTTTCTGTGGATCCACTTGAAAGCACTTCCACAATCTTAACGTTTCGTCGGCACCAGCACTAAGCACCGTAGTTCCATCCGGAGACATGGCTAAATGTAAAACGCGACTGGTGTGTCCGGTAAGTTCCGCGAGCTTCGTCATCGCTGAATATTTCCAAATTGTTAGCTGATTTTGCGCATATCCATGTCCAGAAACAATCTCTTTGTAGTTCGTAGACCATAGCAAAGCACAGACCTGAGACTTTGTATCTATCGTATTCAAACAGGCACCTGTGACAAACAAAAAAATCGAATCGTGTGTTATGTATAATTTTTATTTTATTTTTATTACTCGTTTTTTCCCTATAAATTTAATATGCTTTAAATTATTATAATTTACAAATCGCCTCTCCTGTAACTTGCCTGAGTTGCAATTCCAAAACCTAATAGTCCGATCAGCGGTACCGCCGCCGCTCGCGAGTACATTGTTTTGCCAAGGACACCAAGCGAGCGCTTTTACGGCAGCTTGATGCTGATTGAACGAATAAATAGGCTGCGTCTGAGAATGCCTTTGCCCGGCGATTGACGACCAGATTTGCAGCATATTGTCATTGCCACCACTCGCCAGATATTGCCCATCAGGCGACCATTTCAAGCCACACACTTCTTGAGCGTGTGCGTTTATAGTTGAAATGAAATGATCTCGTTCTCTGACATCATGATGCACTATTTTACCAGACCTTTGAAACAATAATGTAATTTTAGTCTTACTTCCAAAACTCGAATTTTAGTTGCAATCTCAGTTACATCTCGGTTTATTTCCACTTTAATGTTATGTAATTTTCCAAAATCTTTAGTAAATGTACTTAATTTCAAATAACTATTATATTTATCAATCTAATCGATAGCTTTACGAAATTGTTTTCTATAAGGATCAATTCTTTAAAACTTATGGGCAACAATCACAAAAATTAACAATCCAGTGTATTGGTGTATACCTGCAACCGCTTGATAGTACATGGGAATTCCAGGAAAGAGAACCAACTCTGGCTGTATGTCCGTTCATAACGCGCATTCTCTTCATTTGACTGCAATCCCACAATTCTGTATTTCCCACTGTGGTACCCACTGCCAAACATGGACCTTCTTGAATCCATGCGACGGAGCATACATAATCATTTGCTTCCAATTCAAATAACTGTTCTATAGTACCAGTTCCAGCGTTCCATAAATAAACGTTAGCACCTAATGCTACAGCTAAGATATTATTGTTTGACCAATCCACTAAGTTTAAATCTGTAAAAATCATATTTTTTTTTATCCAAGTGTTCTTTCATGCCTTTAGTAGTATAGTAAATAAAAAACGCGAAGACAGATCGCTTACAATAATCATCGATAATTTCAGGTGCATCCAGTATTCTATCAGGGGCTTGCGGTATGTATCTCGTGGAATTTTTGGCACTAGCTGGCGTTTTAGTTTGACTGTACAGGACTTTGAGAGGATTCTGATATCCTTCTGGTGGCGCTGGTGCTTTATTTTGATAAGATAAAATTCGCGCATTATTTATATCACCACCATAAAGATTCTCTCCTATGAGACGCTGCATCTCCCGTTTCTTAGGACTCATTTTATCAGCTTTGTCTCTATCTTGTTCAGCATTTTGTTGTTGAAGAATCTAAAGTAGAAAAACATAGTGCATAAATATGCCAAGAAAATTTCAAATATCCTACAGAGAATTTTTTTCATTTTTTATTTATGAACACATTCAGGGTACAGTGGATAAAAACCATCGTACACAAATTGGCATAAAGATATTTCTTTAGTATTTTAATATAGAAATTAGTTAGATCATGGAATTTTTGATACACTTTATCGTACTGTTAGACAAAATATATATTTCATAATTTAAAATATTTATAATTCACTTTTACACTCGGGTTAAATTAATACACAACGACTTTAATGCCCACTAGTTCATACTAGTGTCATCCATTTGCTGTTAGTCACAAATATTTGTTACCTTGAAATGACTTAATTCAAAATTAGTCGTGGCTCTCGACGGAATGAATCTGTCGCCACCGCTGGGTGTCTTGGCTGGAGTAGTGGCTCGACCTGTTATAAAATGCAATCAAAATTTTATTTCTTTCATTAACAATGTATAAATACTAGGAATCTTACTTGGAGACTTCTTAATACATTTGGAGGGAGTTTTCTTGGTTTTGCAATCATTTTTCTTTATCGGGGTCTTTCCTGATATACTGCTTGTGAAAGAAGTAATTTTCTTTGACGAGTTTAAACTGTGATTAACGCTGAAACATGAGGTACATGCGTAAGGCAATATTTGCATCAAACAAAGCCATGCACATCTAACAAATTTACTCAACGTTCAAAATTCATGTAAATTGTAATTATAATGTAAATTGATGGTACAAGAATTTACCAATTTAATAATTAAGTATTAATAATCAGATTCTCGACAAAATTTAAGACAGTTACCTTAAATTCGATGCTTCCATGCATTTCTTTTGCCAACGTGGGATTGCGCCTTTGATAGCGTCGTCCATGCGAGTTAAATTGTCGAGCTCCTTCATGAATCTCAGGTGCGTCATAACGAACTAATGCGACGTGTCCTCGAGTGCACGATCGACTGCTAGAAAAGTTACGAAACAATTAGTAAGTTGCGGACAAAACCCAATGTGTATATGTACACACGCGTTGACGAAATGGGATATGATGAACGCTGAATCGTTGTTGACGATAAGAAATGTGCCGAAAAACAACAACAAAAAAGTTGGAAAATTGAAATACCACTTGATCAATTCAATTTCTACCAACGTCTAGGATACGCGTCGGTCGGTGTAGGGTGTACATACATATGTACAGTCAGTACATACCAATGCCGATATTCCTGATTCTTGCTGCCTGCGTGAGGCGACAGCGTGGTTTAAATGGATGGATCGGGCCGATCGGGGTATCAAGAAGAGATTTAAAAAGAACGTTGGATTTTAAATGCCACCGGTCATTTCCTGTTTTGTTTGCGCAGATGTCGCCACACACTTCCAGTAACTAGAGTCCCTATATTTATGCAGCGAACCTTCGGGCCTACGCACAATAGGACAAATATTAGAAAGAGAAATAAATATCGAAGGCAATGGTGAGATGCTAATACGGTTCTCTGATCGAAGCACTAGCTTAAGCCATCTCGAGTCTTGAGCAACGTCTATGGATTCCGTACTAAGATGTCAACCTACCAGATAGTCCAGACACTCCAGACTGTCCAGATACCGGTTACACCGGAATACACGAATACACTTATTACATTTATTCATGTATTCTTAAACAAATATCGCATACGAAAATAGCAATTCCTTATGCGACAATTATTCACATGTGCTCCAGAATAGGGCCCCAGTTTGTTGTAAAGCGCTGCAGTGTTGATTGGGCTGTTGAGTGAGCGCTCGCTGTTACTGGTGCATTTTTCTAGATTGTCCAATTAGATGTTCAGATCTAGAAGAAGAATAAAGCAATAGCAGCGAGCGTTGACTAATAGCGTTTTCGGCCC